GTGCTGGTTCTTCCTCCCTAGGTGCAGCACCTTGCACTTGTCAGTGTTGAACCCCATCCTATTCTCATCCACCCACCCCTGTAACCTGTCCAGATCCAACTGCAGCCTGTCCCTCGCTTCTAGCGTACCCACTTCTCCCCACATCTTGGTGTCATCCTCAAACTTGAACAAGGTGCTTTTCACCCCCTCATCCAAGTCGCTGATGAATATGTTGAACAGTGCGGGCCCAAGGACTGAGCCCTGGGGGACCCCACTGCCCACATCCCTCCAAGTCGAAAAAGACCCATCCACCACCACTCTGGGTGCGGCCCTCCAGCCAATTGGTGACCCATCTGACTGTGTAGGCATCGACACCACAATCTCCAAATTTTTTAATAAGAATGGAGTGAGAGACAGTGTTGAAGGCCTTCCTAAAATCCAGAAAGACTACGTCCACCGCGACACCTGCATCCAACGATTTTGTGACCTGGTCGTAGAAGGCCACCAGCTTGGTCTGACAGGACCTGCCTCTAATGAACCCATGTTGATTGCCCCTAAGCATATATTCCCCTGCTTACCCCTCACAGATATGCACCTGGATAATTTTCTCAAAGAGGTTCCCCAGGACCGAGGTAAGACTAACAGACATATAATCTCCTGGGTCCTTCTTCCCTTTTTTGAAAATGGGGACCACACTGGCCCTTTTCCAGTCCTCTGGCACCTCAGTCATTTAGTCCTTGAGATTTTGGACAGATCCCTTATTTAGTGTCTCAGTCTCCTTATTCTTAAATGGGAGAGTTATCAGTTACATTATTGTTCAATACATGGAATACACAAGGCTTCACAACACACACATGCTAGATGCCATTTATTTTTTTCCCTTCGAGTCCATTAAATCTATCTTGGTTGTCAGTAGCAGGTTTGTTCTGTTCCCTTTTCATTCAAGGAATCAGAATCTTACCTGAAATCAGCAGAGCATCTCCATGCAGGGCAGCTGTGACCGTTACATTAATTTCTGAATTTATTCTTCTTTTAGGTTTGTTACATCGAGGGTCACAGGGTTGTCAGTCTGGCCAATGAGATGTTTGGCTTCAACGGCTGGGCTCATTCGGTCACTCAGCAGAATGTTGGTAAATATCTTCTCCTGGGGTTAGAGAATTTGCATTCCCACTGTTTCACACTGAAGGTGTGAAGTGATAGACTGTGGTTCATCCTTCTGAAATCTGACTACTTGAAACTGTGGGAGGCATACTTTTAATGTGACTCTCTCTGTCAAAGCAGCAGATGGAGTTTTCCAGTTCCTTGACAGTTGTGAAGAGATAGCAAAATGGGGCAATAGTGGAATGTCTGTGTTTTAGCACCTGTCTTGGTATAAAGAAAACCTAAATTTATACTTGCAGGCCCAGATTTGAGTAATCCTATTCCTAAATCATCCATTTGTGTGCTGATGACTAGACCCAAAGGAGTTGCAACTGAATTTTTGCCTGTTCAACCACCAGTAGACCTCAGCAACATGTCTGCCTACAGCTGCTCCCTCAAAAGACAGACATACCAGCTTTTGCCCCCTCCATCTCTTAAGTCTTTCTAACAAGCACTTTGGTTTCACAAACATCCTGTCCTAAGAGTCTTTGGCTACTTTTATGCATCCCCATGCTCAGGTGCAAAAGCTTAGAACATTTTGCATAGCTACGTGTTTGTGCTAGACATACTGCCTCTTCACTGCCAGGTATCAAGTAGGAGAGCACAGTACTGATTGCCCTAAGTTCTTTCCAATAATTGTAAGCTCTGTGAGTTGGTATGCTGAAGCATCCCCCATACTTTCTTCACTTTGCTCTCCTTTGGTTGAATTAGGGTGGTTTTTTGTTTCAGTTAAGTTTTCACTGCTTTCTTAATATTTAGGAAGTACTATTGCTTCGCTGTAGGGGCATGAATCTACTGGCCACAACCCATTTATTCTGAGGCTGTGGCCAGCACTCTATTTCATATTCAGGTCCAGTTATTTCTCCCCACCTCTTAGCTTCTGTTGTAGTTGTTG